TAGAGGGCGCAGCGTCACTGGCCCTCATGTGGGATCTGAACCGGGGCCCTGCTGCTCAGAGCTGGTGTCCCAAGCCAACTCTTCACCAGTGCACCACTTGGCCGGCCCATATGCATTATTTCTTATAAGTAGCACTGGTTGTCAATCCAACCTAGATTAAATTAACAGCAAGAAGCAAATTTATGTCACATTAAAATTTTGTATGTACAGTGTATGTTTAGAGGGTGCATATAGGCACTTAATACTGGGAGTTGCGGTTTTACTCAACTTTTTGCTTAGTATTGTGGAGTGACAAAGAAGCATGTCTGTAATAGCAGTTCTCTTTATTTGTAGGCTAGACGATATGTTCGAGTAACAACAGTTACAGTTTTTGTGATTCTTTTTTTTCCCCCATGTATGACTGTCCTAATTATATTTATTGAAGTGTAATGTTGTCGGTTTAATCTAAAAATGTTAAGCTCTTAGGTTATATCTTTTTATTTTGTTTTTCCAGTAAGTCATTTTTATTTTTCAAAAACATCTGTCCATAAATTATAAGGGGAAAAATTGGTCTTCACACTAGATAGTTCGAGAAGCATGACTCTAGTGCACAGGTTGGCAAATTACAGCCTACCATCTGTTTCTCTAAGTAAAGTTGGATTGGAACACAGTCACATCCGTTCATCTCACAGTTGTCTATGGCTTCTTTCATTCCACAACAGTAAAGTTGAATAGTTGTAGAAGAGACCATATGGCCCTCAAAGCCTAAGATATTTACTATGTGGTCCTTTGCAATAAAAAAAGAAAACTGCTGACACCTGCTCAAGATGGCTGAATATAATCTGTTGGGAAGACCTCTCTATTTTCCTTCACTAATCATTCAATAAGCAAAGATGGCACTGGGGCTCAGGACCCTTAAGATGATTAAAACATTCCTATCTTCAGACATGGTGCTGGAAGAAGGGAAGTTTAGTTACTCTTTAGATATTATATTTGATAGGGAATGAAGGACATGCAAACCCCTATACTTGGTCTCTGTCTCTTAGTATACTTAAAGTCCTCTCTAATTTTGATTAAAAAGAATCTAAGTATCTGATTCAGATAGGGGAAGAAGCACTAAATCTGGAAGACCCAAAATAATCCCCAAGCCAGACACACAACAAGTATTCCAACTGAGAGAGAGAGAGAGAAAGAGAGAGAGAAAGAAAGAAAGAGAAAAAACATCTTTTGGCTTTTACTTGCTGTGTGGAATCTAATCTTAAAATAATGTTAAATGTATAATGGTTTTCTAATTCAACATCCATGGTTTAGTTACATTAAAATAACATTATTTTTGTAAAAACTTAAAAAAAAACACATCAAGTCCAGTGGTTTTCAATTGGGTGTGTGTATGAGTGTCACCTGTGGAGCCTTTGATCCATCTCAGACATATAGAATCAGAATTCTAAGAACTAGGATTGAGAGATGGTGTTTGATTTAAGCTCTGCAGGTGATTCCCAGGCTCACCAGTGGTTAAGAACCATAATCTAGTCCAACTGACTCATTTTAGAGATGAGAAAACTGAGGCCTGAGGAGCTTACCCACAATACCCTCACTCATCTTTTTTATTCTCCAATGTCCTGGAAATCTTTTCACAACATTGCTTTGTGCACAACACTGGAGAGAGGCATGAGCAGACAGGGAGGGATTAGGCTACACATCCAGAAAATGGGCCAAATTGAGTTTGAAGTTCTCATTGCAGTTAACCAGATTTGATAAACCGTTTTTTATCTTTTGATTTTTAATAGAGAATATTTGTTTTAAATCATTTATTATTATGTCAAAATCTAAAAACTGCCTCTTCACTTAGCAGAATAAATGTGGTGCTTTTTCATTTTAGCAAGCGTTACTCCAAATAGACCAACTCCTTCGGACATGGCTATCGTCATGTATACCAGCGGATCTACTGGCCGACCTAAGGGAGTGATGATGCATCACAGCAACTTGATAGCTGGGATGGCAGGCCAGTGTGAGAGAATTCCTGGCCTGGGGTAAGAGAGAATCAATCATTCAACGTTCTTAGAAATTAGAGCTCACGTTTGCATTTTCTAAACTCCATCTATATTAAAACGATAAGGTTATTGACATTTCTAATTTACAGTGCCTTTTTTAAGATTGGCTAAAATGTTTCTCTTATTTTGTTCTAGACCAAAGGACACATATATTGGCTACTTGCCTTTGGCTCATGTCCTAGAATTGACAGCAGAGATATCTTGCTTTACCTATGGCTGCAGAATCGGATATTCTTCTCCACTTACACTCTCTGACCAGGTGACAAGCTTTTCAGTTTATTGGCATGATCATATTAAGGTGCATTGTTTGGTTGAGAACATAGTATTGCTAAAGCATGAGCTATTTGAATTCAGCTAAAACTTTTTCCATGACTTCCAAAATACCTCTCATGAGCAATGTGTAGATATAGTAAAGAACCTTGTGGAATTGTTAGCATTGCTTTACGTGCATGTTTTATTTAAAACTATTTTGAAACTAAGAATTACTTTCATCTTGTCTTTCTCTATTTGATTTTTATCTTGGAGAGCTAGGAGAGAGAATGTAAATACACTGAATCTTTTTGACATTTTGCCCATGGCACTGGTGGGCTTTTGGGAGATGTGGTGGTAGGATTTGGGCCCAGTTTTGCTTTGAGTTTTCTCCAGAGTTGTGCTGTCCAATACAGTAGCCCCTAGCCACATATTGAAATACAGATTAATTATAATTGCATCAGAAAATGCAGTTTCTCAGTTACTCGAGCCACATTTCAAGTTTTCAGCAGCTACACGTGACTAGTGGCTACTATACTGGACAGCACACATAGGGAACATTTTTCGTCATCAGGAAAGGTTCTATTAGATAGCACTGCAGCATGTCCCAAGGCAGCTCTCAGCTTTCTACCCTGAGTCAGGCTTCTCCCTTCACCCAGTTGTGCATAGCAGGAAGCCCAACAATGGGTAGGGCTAACTCATGTATTTTAAGCCCATTGAAATCACATATCTAATACCTACTGTCCGCAGTTCTGTTTCATTTCTTCTTTGGGATAGTGGCTATAGAAAAGTTTCAACCAGACATTGGGGGTAAAAAAAGAGCTCCTAAGGGAGCTGTGGGCTTCAGAATACTGAGAGATAAACTGAGTATCAGTAGGAATGACTTGATTCTTTGTATGACTTCTGCCGCTCCCATCACTGGACACCCAGCTATTATTTTTCAGAACCTCAGGCAATGCTGCTTTTTTTTTTGGGCATCTTGATGGAGCAATCATTTGGTAAGAAGATGTGCCCTTGGTGTTCACAGATAGAAATTGTAATACCTTTTTTGTAGAAATACCATTTTAGGAAGAGATTAGATATGTTGTATAATATTTAGACAAAAAGTTAAGTAGAGTTTTTAGATTTATTTGAGATTGCACCTGTTTTCTGTGTTTTCTTTTTTTGGGGGGAGGGGTTGTTTTGGATGTAAACTTAATGCACACAGATCTTAAATTTACTGCTTGATTGAATTTAAGATACACAAACATATATAGACTTCTGTGATGATCACCATCTAGATCAAGAAAAAAGAACGTTTGCAGATCCCAGAATGTCCCTTGTGTCCCTTCCATTCATTACCACTACCCCTCCCAGGGATAATCCAACCACCTTTTAAAGTGGCTTTTCTATGAGAAAATGTTCTTTGTTCTAAACAACTATCTACCTACTTTATACTTGAAGGAGTACCACCTCTTTGTATGATGGAGAGCAGCTGTTTTTACCAAACCAGTCAGCTAAAAGTTCACATTTAAAATCCACTGGAATAGTAGTAATGGAGAAAATAAGTAAATTATCCAGTAAACTAATAAGCAGTACTTGATGAAATAAAGTCAAAATAGACCTTTTAATAAGACTTAGACCTATGAACAAATTGTAAAAAAAAAAAAAGTAAAGGAAAATCTGTGATGATTACATTTGATGCATTTGTAGTAAGTTTTTCTTAGGTTCAGATGTTTTCAAAATGTGGAAAGCATTTCAATAAGTTTTGAGTATGATTCTTTTCCCCAGTGGGGAAGTTCAGAAGCTGGAGACTAGCAACGCTTGTTTTCACTGCCTTTCTGATAACAACAGCCTCAGCGTGTAGAAGGAGGGCAGTTGGAGACTGTTGCTGCTCTGACATCATTCTTTCTGTCTCGTAGGTCAAGTGGTACATTAAAAGCCTGTTACAAAACTGGCAGGAGCGTCCACACCCACCTTTTTAATAAACTTGACTATAAAGAGTCTCAATCAGACTAGGAATCTAAAACTCAGGAGTCCTCCTCACATAGGAAATCAGAAAAATGTGGGAGACCTGAGACACCACAGTGGAAGCCAGCAGATGATAGTGATATTGTCATAACTAGAGTTACGGTGATCGTAATGAAGACTAGAACTCAAATATTATAAAGAATCATAAAGAAAGCAGGAAAGGCTCCTTGTGGCTACTGCTCTTCTGGAACTGTTCTCTATAGCAAAAATTGGTCAGCAGCACATGGAGGTCGGCTCCAACTTGAAGGACATAAGAACCCATCTTTTTCTCTACAGAGTAGCCTTCCATGTGTAGTGTGCATGCAGGGTATAGGTTTCCACTTACAAATGTACACACACTTGCACATACATAAAATGCAAGGAATTATTTTATTTCCTCCACCTGTCATATAGAAAAGTACGATAAACGCTATTGAGTTCTACAAGCAGAACCTGCTATATGACAGCTGGTAGTACTAGTGGATCACACTACTTTTTAAGAGCTGCTTTTCTTGCCTGTATTGGCCACAGCTAACACATGATACAGCTAAACTTACAGACTAATGAACTACATTATAGAAGATTCTTATTTTTATTCACTCCTTTCAGTGGGCAGCTATCAGTCTTCTACCTACTGCTCTCACATTGAAATCCCAAATAGTATTTGTGTGTATAAGAAAGAAAAGAAGAATGTGTACACATTTATGTATATATGTGCATACCCACACGTGGTCATTGGTAGTGTCTTCAGTTCTGTCAACCAAAATGTTATCAAATTAGTATTTCTGTATGTTAACTGCTTTTCATAGTGGTGACTTTGAGATGTGGCTTTTATTTTTGTCTAATCAAATAAAGTTAAAATTATCTTCAATTTTATTGTAGTGTTTGATTAACCTTAGTTGAGGTGTTTTGTTGAAAGTGGATGGTCTGTCCTATGTTTGATGATAATGTTATGAGTAATTCTTGATTTACCAAAATATCCCTTTCTCCTTGATTCCGGATAAGAGTTTCCCCTCTAAGACAGGCTGAAATGTGCTAGAAGAAATAATCTACAGGATAAATGACTAAAGCACTTACGCGCCAGACTTATAGGTTATGATAGTTCTAGTGGGTAACTCACAGAGCAACAGAAGATCAAATTCCATGTGTAAATTTATGCCTTTGTTATTGTTAATATTTGAATTATAACATCTTTTTCCTAAGGTTGGTTTCCCTGATCCTATTTACTTTTTCTTCCGTGTAGTCCAGCAAAATTAAAAAAGGAAGTAAAGGAGATTGTACTGTACTGAAGCCTACACTCATGGCAGCTGTTCCTGTGAGTAGAGTATAAATGTCATTGATTGCTTGTACTTAGACTTTTTAAAACAAATTTTATTAAAATGTAGGCAACCTACAATATTATATTAGTTTCAGATATACACCCTAGTTATTCCACATTTATATATCTAAAGAAGTGATCACTGTGATAAGTCCAGCAACCAGCCAACACCGACTGTATCATGCTATCAACATATTATTGAATATATTCTCTGTAAGCTTTGTTCTGTTCTTTCATTTGGGATATGTTTGTTTGCCTCCATAGTTTGGCTGCCTCCTTGTGTTTGTTCTAGGTATTAGGTAGGGCTTCTATGTCTCCTGATCTTAGTGGAGTGAACTTATGTAGTAGAGGTACTGTGGGGCCCAGTGGTACAGTCTTCCTGATCACCTGAGCTGCACACTTCAGGTGTGTCCTTTCTGTGGGTTGTGTGTGCCCTCCTCTTGTAGTTGAGCCTTGGTTGCTGCTTGCATGTCAGTGGAAGGGATTCACCCTTGGGCTGATTGGCTGTGAGATTGGCCGTGACTATAGTGGAGGAGCTATGGAGCAGGGGCTGAACCTGTAGAGTAGGATTTGCTTTAGCAGGGCTCTGGTGCCTGCCCACTTTGGGTGTGTCATTCTTAGAGGTGGCTGGGTGATTCTCTTTCTGAAGCTGGCCGCCAGGCACGCCAACTCTGGAGCTTCCTGGGAGGGTCCCACATCAGGTTATGTCCTGCCAAGTTCAGCCGCAGACTGTGCCCTGCCCGGGGCCACTTGTCATGAGTCACAATTCAGTTCACAGATGGCTGCACTTGAAGATGTCTCAAGAGGCAAAGCCATGAACTGTGGCTGACTGTGGCTAGTGCTAGGCTTAGGGATACTCAGCAAGTGGTATTGGACATGTAGAAGCCAGATGCTGCTTGTTCGGGTTTTGTGAAACTTTGAGAGACCTTAGGAAAGTCTGCAGCATGAACCAAGACAGGCTGTTTTTATGGGAAAGGCACTGGAACGTCTTGGATGGGCCTGAAAGTTGGGTGGGGCAGGGTCTCATGGAATCACCAGGGTGGAGTGAAGGAACAGTGTTAGCCAGGTTGATGGAGACTCTGCCAAGTCGGCCCCTTGTGACTGCATGTCTGGAGGCAGGAGGGTTCAACAGTGAAACGGTGGATTCCGCCAGCTCGTCTGGCAGGGAGAAAGCTGCCCCTCCAGCCCTCATCCTGCAGCCAGACAACTCAGTTCCTCCCCATATATCCTGGTGCCTTTGGAGCTGCTGCCCCACCACTGAAGCTCAGACCGAGTGAGTCTGTCAGCAAGTAAGTCCGTGCATGGGTTCCCCCTCCAGCCCTCATCCTGCAGCCAGACAACTCAGTTCCTCCCCATATATCCCTGGTGCCTTTGGAGCTGCTGCCCAACTGCTGAAGCTCAGAGCGAGCGAGTGAGTCTGTCAGCAAGTAAGTCCGTGCATGGGTCCTTTAAGAGGAGCACCTGGGACTGCAGCCATCCTGGTCTCACTCAGCCACGCTCTTCACTGGTTTTTACAGCCAGAAGTTATGGGGACTTCTCTCCCTGGCACTGGAACCCTGGGCTGGGGAGCCTGGTGTGGGGCTGGGACCCCTCATTCCTCCAGAGACAGGGGGAACCTCTGCAGCCAAGATATCCCTCCCAATTTTTTAATGGTCACATGCTGGTGTGGGACCAGCCCGTTCTGCGTTTCTGTCCCTCCTACCAATCTTGAGGAGGCTTCTTCTATATGTCCTTAGTTGTAGGGCTTTGGTTCAGCTAGAATTCAGTTGATTCTCAATGATGGTTGTTCTGTAGTTTATTTGTAATTTTGATGTGGTTGTGAAAGGAAGCAAGCACAGCGTTTACCTACTCTGCCATCTTGACCAGAAATCCGCACTTGGCCTTTTTTTATTTATTTATTTTTTAGCTGAGACATCCTGCGCACTTGGCCTTTTTAAAAAGTAATATTCTTAGGTATTTATGTGCATTTTAAAATAATTTTACTTCATTGTAATTATGGCAAGTGTGTTCCTTAAAATCTTACATAAGTATAGAAAAGATGAAACACCAAACTTCTGAAATGTATGTCTGGTAGTTTGCTGATACTTGAAAATTAGGTGATGAAAATTAACCAAATTTAAATTACACAGTGAGAGGACTGGTCATAATATTTTAAAGGTAGAATGTACGCTGAAGATCATTTTAATTGCTTAATTTAAAAAATGAAGAAACTGATGCCTTCCTGGAGAACTGAGGCAGCGTATCTAAGGTTACAGAGCTGGTTAGTGACAGATCTGAGTTTAGAGAATCCAAGCCTCCTGACCGTTATGGTTACTTAAAAAAAACCAAAAAAACTGTCATTTGAGAGAGCTACCAAAGAAAAAATTTAATTCCAGACCCTCAAAATTCTTATGTGAGTTACTGCCTTTTACAAAAGAATAAGATGTTACCTTTTATAGTTTTAATGACAGATTCTGAATTATTTAACATTGTTTCAAACTTGTATAATCAAATATGTTCAACCACTTTCAGGCTTTGGAAACTCCAGTGGGGCTGTGTATAACTACTGCTTGTATTATGATCAGAGTTTAAATCTTAACCCCAATATCTTCCACAGAATTGACATTGCACATGGAAAGCCTGAGATTGCAAAATGAAGTGTTTGTACCAAGTTTTTCTAAGAATTACAGATGGAAAATACTTTGTGGGGGTTTTTTTAGCTTCTATTTACAAAATTACCAATTAACCAAAGAATTAGAATAGGTCAGCGTAGCCTTTGCCTTTTTTTTAGGTGCCTTATTTAAAGCTGCTGTAGAATTCACCAAGTTTACAAACTGAAATGATGGTAGTAATAGGTAGGGTAGTACTTACTGTGTTCCAGACACTGTGCTAAGTGCTTTAGGTAGATATCTCACTTAATCCTCCCTAATACTCTGCTAGACAGGTCCTGTTATCCAAATTTTTATAAAGAGAAAAACTTGCATGAAGTTACACAGCCCATAAGGGGTAGAATTAAAGCTTGAACTCGACCAGTCTGATCCCAGAGTCTGCTTAACCACTATGGCTATTTAGGATTGTTTGTGCTGTTTTGTTTTGTTTTGGGAAACAGTATGTTGGCTTTTTTACGCAAAGTACAGGAATCCTTAGTAAACACCATCAGAGAACAAAGGGAGTGGGAGGGCCAAGGACTCTAGGAAGTAATGTCTGAATTTAGGCTTGAAGTATAAACAAGGAGTTCGCTGATACATGGTGTATCTTCCAATTGCCCACTATCCATTCTTCTTTACTTTGTGTCTTGGGAGGCTACCTTCTGTGAATGAATTACCGGGGCTTGCCTGCCTTCTGATTTCTGTTTGGGTTCAGCCAACTGTTGGCACTCATGAGAGCTCAGAGGGCAGGAAGAGAGAGAGATCTGAGTACGTACTGCCTTTGCTCTTTCCGTTCTGGGCTGCAATTTTGGGCACGTGTCAGGCACCCGTTGCACAGTCTCTTTCCCACTGGCTGTACCCAGGTCTTTCCCTTGGCTGTAGTCCTCATTCAGGTTCCAGTAACACTTTTCTCCTTCTATAGGCCTGAAGCTTGTTAATAATCTCCCATGTTGCTAGTCCACTGATGCTTCGCCAAACGTTGTTGGTTCCCTTAGTTCCTCGCACTTCTGTATAAATAGGCCTTAAAAAAAACTATATCAACAATTGTTTTTGGTAGGTTCTGTTTTCTGAATTTGCTCTTATCCTGAGCCAGAATAAAAGATCCAGTTAGTATTGTAAAATTCACAATGTGAGAATACACAATAAGTCACTACTTATTTATTTATTTTTTTTTACGATTTTATTGGGGAATTGAGGGAGGGGAACAGCATTGGGGAATCAGGGAAGGGGAACAGACAAGTTGCTGTCCTTTTGTTCTTCAGTCTAGTTGTGGAGGACGTTGCTTCACTGGCCCATGTTGGTATTATCATTCCGCTCTTCCCGGGTGATGCATATTGGTCGCCGGCCTCTGGATGGCCGCTCACGGTGGCTGCTGGCCACTTACGCTGGCTGTTGGCTACACACGGTAGCCCATGGCAACCCACTGCAGCAGGGGCTGCAGCCCACGCCGTTGCCGGCAACTCACAGCAGCCCAGCTCCAGGTTGAGCTGTTGTTCAGCATCTTAGCTGTAGAGGGCAGTGTCACTGGCCCTCATATGTGGGATCCGAACCGGGGCCCTCTGGTGTCCCAAGCCAGCTCTTAACCATCGTGCCACTCGGCCGGCCCCAACATGATGATTTAATACATTTATATATTGTGAAAGTTTTACCACAATATTAGTTAACACATTAACCAGTTAACATAGTTACCATTTCCGTGTATATGTTGTGAGAACATTTAAGATTTACTTCCTTAGCAACTGTAAAGTATGCAATATAGTGTTGTTAACCACACTCATCTTACAACTGGAAGCTTGTACCCTTTGATCAGTATATCCCAGTTTCCCCCTCCCTCCCAGCTCCTGGCAATCTATTCTCTGTTGCTATGAGTTCACCATTTTTAGAGTCCACATATAAATGAGAAGATAGAGCATTTGTTTTCTTTTCTGACTAACTTCACTTAGAATAATGCCAAGGGATGGTTCTGCTGTCCTCATTTGTGAACGGCTCTTGATCTTTGCCCCTCTTTTTATTAAGAGTCCTTCATAAAGTTATTCCTTGTAGCACAACTGAATTTACACTAATTGCTATTTTAAATGTTTAAAACTAGGTATTTATAAATAGGTGTGCTTTCTTTATAGAGTAATTCTTGTTAATTTGTGCTAAGTAATTAAAAAAACTAAATTTAGTGAGTCTGGGCTTTATAGTTAGTTAGTTAGTTTGTTTGTTTTGTTTTTTTATTTTGTATGTATTAGCTTGGGAGTCAGTATGTCCCAAACTTAGTCCTACTTTGGAGCTGTGACCAAGAATCCTATTCTTTTTTTGTTGTTGTTATTTTAGCTTGTATTAAACTGGAATAGAAATGCCTAAATTACAGTGACATAAGATTTTTTAAGAAACTGTAAAGCTCTTCATCACATAAGAATCACAAGTTAATAGTAATAAAGAGAAAATCATCAGGATTAGATCAGATTACTTGGGTGTTTTGGTGCTATTTGAGAATAAGTGAATACATATATTTGAAAGAACTGAATTTTAGGAAACATATCTTTATGTGAGAGGTGAACATTTATATTCTGTTTAACCTTTTAAAAATTTTTAGATAATCTAGTATCTAGAACTGAAGAGACCTTTATTTAGTCTTTTTGAAATAGTAAACAAGTAAAGTCAGTGAAATGAAGTATATAATAAATATGCCCATTATACTAAAACCTTACATAAGATGTTGGACATAAGGTATCTTCAATTAAAGACTGTCTCGATGTTGGTGTATTCTTTTCTGATTATTGAATATTCTGCTTACCTTATAGGAAATCATGGATAGAATTTATAAGAATGTTATGAGCAAAGTCCAAGAGATGAATTATATTCAGAAAACTCTGTTCAAGATAGGATATGACTACAAATTGGAACAGATCAAAAAGGGATATGATGCACCACTTTGCAATCTGTAAGTACATTTTATAATTTGAGGCTTTAAATCTTTTTGTGTTTTTACATCTCAAAGATAATTAAGGAAATGGCAAATTAATTTAATTTGAGCATCACCACTGTGATCATAAGGTTGAATTTCTCTTTTGTTTACTTTTAAGCATCATTGCTTATATAGCAAGCAGAGGACCCTGAACTCTGATCTTGACAATTTAACAAATTTTAATAATTGAATAAATATTTAAGATTTAATTATCAAATTTGGTCTCAAGAAGAAAAGCTAGAATAGACTTTTTTGAATCAAGACATTTGAGTTTAAAAACTGTAATTTCTAACTTTAAAAAATGATTTTTAAGATTTCGTCTGCATGAAAATTTCTGATTTATTGTTTCCATAATATAGTGTAAGTATATGAATATAACAGTTATTTTATTTTTATTTTTTTCCAATTATAGTTGACCTACAATATTATTTTGTATTAATTTCAGGTGTACAGCAAGTGGTCAGACATTTGTATAATTTACGAAGTGATCCCCCCAATTAGTCTAGTACCCACCTGGCACCATATATAGCTATTACAATATTATTGACTATATTCCCTATGCTTTACTTTACATTCCCATGACTGTTTTATAACTATCAAATTGTACTTATTTTTTTTAAGATTTTATTTGGGGAATTGGGGGAAGGGGAATAGACAAGTTGCTGTCCTTTTGTTCTTCAGTCTAGTTGTGGAGGACGTCGCTTCACAGGTCCAAGTTGGCACCATCGTTGCGCTCTTCCCGGCTGAGGCAGTCACTCGCCGGCCATAGGATGGCCGCTCACGGCGGCTCATGGCAGCTCATGGCAGCTGTCGCCCACTGCTGTCCGCCCACACTGGCTGCCGGACACTC